AGTTTGAATATGGTGGTAAGCATGATAGCCTGTTTCGATAATGCACATCACATGACGAATAAAAGCATAATAATTTTTAATTGGAATCGAAGGGAATTGCCTTGGACACAGCGACAACACGGATGCTCCAGTATAACCAATCAAAAACTGGTCAAAAAGAACCCGCCATCGTTTTCTGGTGGGATCGATCTTTGAATCTCTTTACCTAAAATTTTATCTTAAAAAGGAGGTAAGCTTAACAATTACGAATCAAGAGATTACCCGCAAAAATTCGGGTGACCTATTGACAGAGTGGAGTATCAGCACAACGTATAAAGAGTAATTGACACTTTCTTTAGCCATGCTTTCTTTTCGATTATTTTTAAACCCTCTTTTTAAACAAGACTGTTATAAAGTTTTGTTTTAATGTGGTATTGTCTGTGTAAGGACACTAAATAGACTGATCCAAAACACAACTTTTTTGCTGATTACGGGACTTGACATCAGAGTATAAGGGTAAGGAGTCTATATAAATTAAAAATAGCCAAAGTTCCGAATAGGATAAATGAGTGTAGAAAATTGCGTAGCAATTATTCGTAGTTGTTTGATAGGCTTAAGGAGAGAGAGAGAGGGAGAAAGAGGGAGAGAAGGGGAGAGGAGGAAGATCCATTGACCAAGAGAAGAAGGTTAGATTTGGGCTAGCACACTTTATGATATGAACATTATACACACATGCACACACGCACACACACATACATATATAATAGACAATTACAAATACCTAAAAACGAGTCAACATTTTATATTCTGACGCTAGTTTAACTGTGTAGGGAAACATCTGCCACCAAATCCACTTCCGGTTCATGAAGTAACTTGACGTATCTGCAAGCATGTGGAGTGACTTAGGGTAGCCAACCAAATGCTTCATTAAGGTATAAATGAAATGTATATAAAAAAAGTGCCTGGGGTTAGAGTCAGCTAATTTTCTCCTAGTTTTTTTCATAATTTTTGTGTTATTTCCTAAAATATGGATTCTTTCTCTGATGAGGTCTGCCACATGTCTGACAAAAATCCAGCACGGGTTCATCTGGGTCCACTTCGCACACTCCAACAGTCTTCACTTCCATTTCGGTTTTCAATGAAGCCATTTCACAAATTCCTTTAAGCCATCTTTTCCTTTGAAAAGGGAAAGTCATGTCACAATAAATAATTGAGACATTCCTCGAGACCTAGTTTGTTTTTATACAAAACGAACTCAACCCAACTGAATGCAGCCAAATGGGTCTGCAACCAAACCCAAGGCCACAACATCTTGGTTGTCATAGCTACAAATTCATCAAACTCACTTATTATGGGCTTACCAAGTTGCTATTCAATAACTATAGCTAGACTGGAAGACCACTTACATCGTAAATATGCTTTAAAAAGACTATTGTTTGACTTTTATTCAACTCACTCTTTTGCCTAATTTGCATGGCCTCGGACTGACCATCGTCTCATCAGCGTAGCTTGTAGGTAGCTGCTCACCGGACAAAATAAGATTTCCCGAGCGTCTTTCAGCTCCCCTCTGACCCTCAGGCCCAACGGTTTCACTGTTTGTCACCAGGCAGGATAGACTCAGCTTTTTGCCTCCATTCAACAGAGCCCTCTCCTCTTCTTCTGTCTCCTCTCCTTTCTCCTCGTCTTCCTCTTCCTCGTCTTCTTCATCGTGATCCATTTCTTCGGTCGGCGGCAGTCGTCCGGTGCTAGTCAGCCTCAAGTGGGATTGAGGCAAACCCGTCTCGTGGACAGCTTTGCTGGCCACCCAGTTGCCATGCGACGGCAGCCGGGAAGAACCGGATGCGGCGGCGATGGCGGAAGCT